GAAAGAGTAGGAGTTGTATTCAATTGCATGGATTGCATTCATCTCTGAAAAGCATTTTTTCCATACAGTTGCAACATTTGGATGTGGTTGAAAATATGTTGAATAATGTGTCATCCATTTTTTCTCTTAATAAGAAAGAAAATTATCATGTATTGGGAAATAATAAACTCCTGGAAGTAAAGGCATTTGCATAAAAGTCTGGTTTTCTTACAAAATCCTGATACTTTGTTCTTTTTTTAAAAAATATTTATTTATTTATTTTTGGCTGCGTCGGGTCTCTGTTGCTGCGCACAGGCTTTCTCCAGTTGCAGAGAGGGTGTGGTACTCTTCCTTGCGGTGCATGGGCTTCTCATTGCGGTGGCTTTTCTTGTTGCGGAGCACAGACTCTAGGCGTGTGGGCTTCAGTAGTTGTGGCTCGCGGGCTCTAGAATGCAGGCTCAGTAGTTGTGGCACACAGGCTTAGTTGCTCCACAGCATGTGGGATCTTCCCGCACTAGAGCTTGAACCCGTGTCCCCTGCATTGGCAGGCGGATTCTTAACCACTGCACCACCAGGAAAGTCCCAAAAAATCCTGATACTTTTTTCTTAACATTAAAATTCATGGCATTTAGAATTTGAAGTAATAATTCAGTTTAATAAAAAAAATGAAAATGTTGCTCAGGTAAGCCATTTGAACAAGCCTACTTGGAAAAATTAAAATAGTTTTTGTTAGCATTATCTGTATAGTAAAGAAGGGATTTTTACTCCAGCCCTTATTTAGAAACTTGTGAGAGCACCTTCCCCATTACTGGCCTCCATACTTTATTGTGGAAAAAGCAGTGTTCTAACATTTGCCTGTTTCTTCTCAATGATTATGCTTACTGGCTGCTATTACTATATACATAGTAATATGTTTACAGTTTACACTACTTTGTTATATGTTGAATCAGAATCAGGAGAAATATTGTTTGACTACCAATGTTCTCTGAATAAAACACGGGGTGGACTGACATTTCGCTTATTGTAGGAATAATATCCTTTGTACACCCAAAGCTACAACCCCATCAGTTTTTTTGGGGGGAGTACGCGGGCCTCTCACCGCTGCGGCCTCTCCCGTTGCGGAGCACAGGCTCCGGACGCGCAGGCTCAGCGGCCATGGCTCACGGGCCCAGCCGCTCCGCGGCATGTGGGATCCTCCAGGACTGGGGCACGAACCCGTGTCCCCTGCATCGGCAGGCGGACTCTCAACCACTGCTCCACCAGGGAAGCCCACAAAATAATTTTTAAGTGAAAATTTTTCTAAATGAAAATGTCTTCTTCTATAACCTGAATTTTTAATGATAAACCAAACAGGAAATTTCTGGGCATCTTTCCTTGTGTACCACATATACACTGTGAAATGATTCATACTGTGTACATCAGTGCGTCCACTTATAAGATAAACGTCTGTTTAGCAAGTACAGGGTGATACTGCCCTTTCATGTTGTATACCATGATTTTGTATGATACTGATATTTGATTAGGGATTTTTGCCAAGAGCTTGTTATACTTTCTCCAAGCAAAATATTTATTATTAACTGTGTAGCTAGTTGCACAAGTTATCTCTGAAACAAAGTGACCTTTACCATTTTTTTAAAAAAATGAGGGATGTAACTTGATCTTTTTTTATCCACAAGTTCATCTATTTCATTCTGGAAACATTGCTTTTATTCCAGAAAAATACATTTCTTGGCAATGAGGTTATTGTATTTGGGTCAAAACTGACTTGAAGGCTTTGATGGCTTTCCAAGTCATTGACAAAATTTCCTAACAGTCGAGGTGTAGTGGGCAAGGGACAAATGGATGCTAGCCCAATAAAATCCAATTTTTAGATCTTCATAGTTGTACTTCCTATTTACTGTTTATTTTTTGTTGCTTGGATCAACTTACCACATTTAAAGCCACATAATAATTCATATTCTATATCTGCACTGCAGTCTTGTTTAATAGCTAGCTACCTTTAATACGTAATTTGAATTTAAGTACTTGTTACCTTTTTTCACCACTACTTCTAATGCTTCAATGTACTTCATTTGAGTGAATGATTTTTCTCTTTTTGGTGAATTGGAAATATAATACAACAAAACGGTAACAAAGAAAAATTTAATTTTAACAAATGTAAACAATAATATATGAATTATGTTAAAAATACCTTGGCTGAGATAAACTATACTGATAGCTAAATGAGGGAAGTGGATCTGTGTAATCTTTGTAGTACATATACAACCTACAAGAATTCAAAGATGCTCAATAGCATAATGGGATTTCTGTTAAAATTAGAATAAATTTATGTTAGACAATTTGTGAAAGATGTGTGAAAAGGTAGTACACTGTAGTGCTAAAACGGGGGGATGGGTGGAATATATTCCCAGAGTCAGCCTTCTTCAGTTTGCCTCCCGCAACACTACTTACCAGCCGGGTGTCCCTTGCTTAACCTCTTTGCTTCTGTTTCCTTATGTGCAAAACGTAAGTAATAGAAACTACCTCACAGTGTTGTTATGAGGATTAAATAAGTACTTATAAAGCAGTGTGGACAGTGCCTGGCTCGAAGCGCTCAATGCTTCCTATTATTAGAAAATAAATCTGTGCAATCATCTTACCACTTCTCTACTAAAAACCTGTCACTATGTTCCTATCGTTGATCAAAGGAAGTTATCCCACTCTTAATCAAAATACATTGCCTCCCGTTTTGGCTGTCGGTATCTCTCCTACCAGACATAAGCGCCCAGATCCTCTTACACTACCAGTTCTATAGCAGGAATTCAAAACTTGCCGAACTTTTTCCCACTAGGGACAAAGGTCCTTAAAAGAGGAAAAAACTAGAAAGGATTACAAATCACGAAGTTTAAGCGGTAGGGCACCTAAAGAAGATTTACAAAACAAATCATCTGCAGAGTGGCCAACCAGGCGAATCCACCACCCAGCGAAGCTTTTTAGTAAAATTATTTTTCACTGACGTCACTCGATCGCTGACCGCTAAGGTAGAAGAGGCGGAATTAGAGAGACAGCTGGACTTCTTCCTCGCCCTCCCTCCTCCACTGGACTGGCTGGCAGCTCCGTGGCCAGTCCTGCTTCTGGTCGTTTTGCGATTCCATTGGTCAGTTTTCCCGAGGAGGCTGGCCTTGGGGCTGACCCCTCCCCCTCTAGGGGCGGGTCTCTCCGTCGTAGGGGCTGGGGACGGTGGGGCGGGGGGCGGTTGCTGCAGCCGCCATCTTGGATTCCGCGGTAGTATTGGCGGCGGTACGGCGCCGCGTCTGGGGAGTGGCTCTCCCCTCCCCCTCCCCCCGGTTCCTTGGTGGTGGCTCCTCCCACTGTGGGGGGGTGCGGCGGCGGTGGCATCTACAGCTATGGCGGCGACTACAGCTAACCCCGGTGAGGAGACGGAGGACTGGGGTTCCTCTCAAGGAGGAGGGGCTGAAGGGGCTGGCAACTGGGTAGACCCAGCGCTGAGGGGCCGTAGTTGGGGCTGAGGGCGCTGAGACGCGTGGGGGTGCTACGGGTCGGTGGGGGAGGGGAGTGACCTGGGGGAGGGGCCCGCCCCTGGGGG